GAGAATGCCGACAGCTCGAAGTGTGATTTGCGTGGGAATTAACACTGATTAATGCAAAGGGTGACTCTGAACGTAACTCCAAAACAAAAGCAGAAACTGTTGCAGCAACTGACGCCAGGATTGATGACATAATAGGGTGGGCCAATAATAGGCAATGGGTACAACACATCCAAAAATAGAAGCTGAACTCTGAGTTAATACATGAAATGAGGGGTGTTTCTCTGGCTGCAAAGTGTGTGTGAGCTGGATGCTTGGAACAGGATAGTGTGTGTGTGTATATGTTTTTTGTGTGTGAATTTGAAGTAGGTGCAGTGTGAAAAGGATGAAAAACGAACAGGAATACTGTTCTGTGTTGAGAGTGCAATTTAGCATGAATCAAAAGCAGCTTTCCTGGCTCCCGTTCCCTACGCTGCCGCCTGCCAGGAAATGGGATTTTTTTCATATTTTTTTGCAGGTAAAGTCTTTGCAGAATGGAATTAAATGAGGTATTTTTTTCCCTACCGAACGTTAAAGTGTTGGAAGTTTGAGGCAGACTAGCTGGAAACAGAATAAAGCTGCGTTTTGGAGACAGCAGGGGGGGTCTGCCATATATTTGTCCCAGCCCCAAACCCCTTCTGGACCTCTTGGTGAATTGAATGATGACTGCTTGTAAAATACTGAGCCCTCTATTAAGTAATTTACCACCGACTGGTCTACAGTCTAGCCTGAAGTGATTCTACTAATCATCACTGCACACAGAAATAATTTATGAGTCTTATTCATGCGGAGAAATGCAAGTTATTCCATCCAGTAAAACAGTGCAAGTAGGTGCAGAGACCACATGAATGACTCAGGATTTTTGAATGGACTGTATTCATTTTAGTCACCTCACAAACGATTTTAACTATGGATCCCTAAAAACAGCCAAATTGCAGTGTATTTATATTGTATGTAGGTTAACATACTGTAGTAAGTGTTGTAGTGTAGGGAAGACGTACAACGAAAATAGTTAATTATACTTTGCAACAACGCCACGGTTCATGTTCTGAATTGTGTTTATAGAATCTTTAATGTTAACAATCTTCACCATCTTAGTTTAGTCTGTTACCAAGCAACATTTACAGTTAAAGCTATAAACAAAGTCAAGTTGAGGCTAAAGGTAATGCTCTTAGGTTTGTAACTAAAGTATAAGACATGTGTGGTGGGAGTCAACTTTGTAGTGGTACATCGTCTTAGCATCAGGGATATTTTTTACCACATTTTTCGTGGATAAGTAAACGTAACAAGAAAAGGGATCTTAAAAGTTATTAGGATTCATCCTATAGGGACCACGAATGTGTGTAAGAAATGAAAATCATCAATTATTTGTGATATTGATCAAAGTCAATATGTTAGCCTGCTTGCAGCACAATTAAAACAAATCGGGTCGATCAACGAATCAGTAGGGTTTAACTGCTGGGGACAATGAACGTCTGTACACATTTTCATGGCAATTCATCAAATACTTAAGATATTTTGAGTTTGATCCAAAGAGGGGGACAGGACCGGTCTGCTATCAACAAGCCACACATTACATTACATTACATTGCATTTAGCTGACGCTTTTATCCAAAGCGACTTACAATAAGTGCGTTCGACCAACAAAATACAAACTTCAAGAAAACAGAATCATATAAGTACATCAGGTTTTATAGAGCAAAAACATTTCAAGTGCTACTCAACTGGCTTTAGATAAGCCAGTCCTTTATTAGTATATAAGTGCTTTGTTAATAGTTCTATCGCTCGAAGTGGAGTCGAAAGAGATGAGTTTTCAGTCTGCGCCGGAAGGTGTGTAAGCTATCTGCTGTCCTGATGTCAATGGGGAGCTCATTCCACCATCTTGGAGCCAGGATAGCAAACCCACGTGTTTTTGCTGATGGGAACTTGGGTCCCCCTCGCAGCGAGGGTGCAGCGAGCAGTTTGGTTGATGCAGAGCGGAGTGCACGTGCTGGGGTGTACGGTTTAACCATGTCCTGGATGTAGGAAGGGCCAGATCCATTCGCAGCATGGTACGCAAGTACCATTGTCTTGAAGTGGATTCTAGCAGTTACCGGAAGCAAGTGAAGGGAGCGGAGGAGCGGAGTGGTGTGGGAGAATTTAGGAAGGTTGAAGACCAGACGAGCAGCTGCATTCTGGATGAGCTGCAGAGGTCGGATGGCACATGCAGGTAGACCAGCCAGGAGGGAGTTGCAGTAGTCTAGGCGTGAGATGACGAGAGCCTGGACCAGAACCTGCGTCGCTTTCTGGGTCAGCTGGGGACGTATCCTCCTGATGTTGTAAAGCGTGTATCTGCAGCAGTAGCTTAGTTGTAGCAGCGATGTTTGCAGTGAAGGACAGGTTGTTATCTAGGATCACACCCAGATTCCTTGCAGTCTGAGTCCACACCACTAACAAGGCCAACAAAATGATGTTGAGTATAATAAACGAGAACATTGGTAGTTTGCACAGAGATAGAATGTCCTTATAAATGTCCTTAATGTGTTCGCACAGGCTGTACTATTGTTCTTCAACAAATGGGTCATGACCAAGAAATAAATCAGAGAAGAATCTGCTGCCAGAACAAAACTAACTTTAACCGAGGGACTCTTACAGACATAGCTGTACAACTATGTTCATGTTCTTATCTTTCATTTGAGTCTAATAACATTTTACGGAGAGATCACTTTCAATAAACTCAAGAACACCATGTTCTTATTGTACCAAACAAGAATTTTGCGAAACTAATTAGCCCACTGTGAAATTCAAGATCAGAAGTCAAGTAACATGCAGAGTTTACGGTCCTCAGCTCAATGACATTGTGTAAGATCAAAGCGTTTCCACTGCCCGGTGTGGCCTTACTCAACTCAACTCGCCTTGCGCTTGGTTCCCACTGGAGATAGTACCTTTTTCTACTAATTCATCCAAAAAAGAAAAAAGTATCAATCATACACACAAAGATAAACAAAATTAGTAGAAGTGGGAGGGCTGAAGCATAGCTTATGGGAAGTAGCCCTCCCGTGAATCATCCTAATATAACATTGGCATTATTGCGTCAAAAACATATAGAAATTAAGGAGTACAAAGAAATAAAGAAAATGGGAAAAAAAAAAGTTAGGGCAAGAACAAAAAATGCGTATATATAAGAAAACTAGATGTCAATAGCAGTTGACTATCTTTTTTGAAAAGGAAAATACTATATATAAAACATATATATATGTACACAATGTACTTGGCAAATAAATAATAATAATAATATATTACTTGTCATTTGTTAGACGCTTTTATCCAAAGCGACTTTACATACATTCAGTACTGTGGACAATCCCCACAGGAGCAGTTTGGGGTGAAGTGTCTTGCCCAGGGACACAACGACATGCTGACTGCAGTGGGACTCGAACTTGCTACCCTGTGATTCGAAGTCCAGCACACTACCCACTGAGCCACAGCCTCCCATATATGCATATAAACATTGTGAACAATTATTTTCAAGTGACTTTTTTTACATTCATATGTTCACACATACACAGAATATACATAACATATGTTCAGGTGTTCAGGTGTATAAGTGCACAAATGCACTCATATACACCAATGCAAATATTACAAGGCAATTTCCAGGGCTGAAATAATAATTAAACCACATAACGATGAAAATAAATAAGAAGGAAAAAATAAAAAAAAAGTAATGTAAACAATATTAAATAAATAAACAAACAAACTGAGAAGTTATTATTTCAACAAAAAAAAAAAATGCTGAGAATACCCAATATTTGTTAGCTGGAGTGATCTGAATTTAGTTTTGAATTGTTGATGACAAGTGATACTTCCCTATTATCAGTTGTTTTCAAATCCTGCAGTGTTTTGACGTCACGATTTACCGATCACCTCAGCTCGCTTGGGACCTACATTGGATGGTACCATGTATTGTGCAGAACTTCGTGACATTTTGTACAGACAGTCATGTTCCCAAGAGGATGAATCCTTCATTTTCGGTATCCTCTTTTATCAGACTTCTCATCTGTCACCAACATGATGTTCAAGTTTAAGGGTATCGTGATGACTATTGAACAGATTCCCATGACTTTTGTTAAAGAGATTAAAAATGGTTAAAGAAATAAAAAATTGCCCCCAAGATTAATTGTAATAATTTGAGTGCTCCCTTCAATGCCAAGACTTACATTCTCCCTCTTAAAAAGGCCTTTTCAACTGTAGTGCATTCAAAAGAAATCCTCCTGTGCATCTATTACTGCACTTCAGCATGTAGTGCTGTCAATCATTGTGGTACTAAACATAAAGTCACTTTTAGACAAAGCTAACTCTTACGTCAAACTACTGACCTCATTACGTTTTCACAAACATGACGAATGTGGCTGGATGCTTTAGACTGGTTTCATCGCATTAGCAGTGGACCGTGGATTGTATATGGCTGCCTCAATGCAAAGCTCTCCACTTTCCTTATTAGCTGGATATGAGAGATACCTCAATGCCCACTGTAACCATTTGGTGGTGAGCTGGTTTGCTGAGGCAGAGTGGAGGTGAATTGAATGGTCTGCAGTGAGAGGCTGTGGGTTGGGTTTCTCTGAGGTTATGGTCATTCTCCCCTGGGAAAGTGGTTAGGCCTGGCTGTTTACTTTGGAGTAACCCTGCCCCTCCCCTTATACACTCTGCTTGGTAACACAGGATTACCTCCATTGGTGTACACCTGTCATTTCTGACCTACATATAATGAAAGAATTAGGGGACTTCATTTAAAAAACTGCAGCTGAAATCATTTGGAATTGATTAAAAAACGTGTTGTGTTAAGTATACTCTTTGTTGTGTGGCGGTTTAGACGTTGTGCGGGCGCCTCCTACTTGTCACAGCAGGTGTGTGTGAAGGGCTGGGGGGAGGTAGAGAGGGGAGGGAGGGGAGGGTGTTAGGACTGCACTTATTGGGAAGGGTCTAAGGTAGTGCCTGCATCTTCACCCAAAGAGGAGTTTGACTTTCTCACTGTGCCTCTCTCGGACAGCCTCACACAGTGCTGGACTGTAAAAAGCCTCTCAGCTCTGCTCTCCGGCTGCGGCCACCAGAGAAGATGCTTCACGCTTACTTTTCATGAGATTACTGCAACACTGGGTGGAGTGGCAGCTCTGCAGCTGATGGGCTGCTGCTGCGGCTCTTTCTATCTTATCCCTCTTTCAATTGGGACGCTGGGGAGAAATACATAGCTTGAAACACACTGTTGGGAGGCAAATGAATGGAGCAGAGTGACGGGGGATTTCCCCAGGCTGCCTTCACACCAATGGATCTGGACACACGCTTTTATCTGGCCAAAATGTGTTTTGCCGAATAACTTTTTTTCTTTACAAGATAATCTCTTAAGAGCTTGCAGCCTGAACACTTTGTGGATTTTTACTGTAAGGATCCACACCATGTAAGTCTAAGGTTTCTTCTCTACTTTAATACACTTTTTATTGGCACAAGTAATGCTCCCTGGGAAATCTCACGTAGTCAAGAACGATGTCATTTTCAGCTGCCTACACTGCTACTGACAATCTTTTGCATAGTAGACAAACAGTTTAGTTCATAAAACTAAGTTCAACTTTCCTCATTGAGGTGACTGATGTAATATTTCTTCTGTTCTTCAGATCTTAAGCTTAAGGATGTGCTCTATAGTCATACTTCATCAGTGGAGTCTGGCTGTGTTCTTGCTGTGCTCCCCGGTGACTCTTGATGGGAGACCAGTTGATGCACTTAGTAGCAGAACGTGAGTAAATGATATGCATTTAGATAACCAAAGAAAAGTAATTCAATGTTATGCAATATGATTTTTATTTTAATGCCATGTTTTGAAAGATTATTGTCTTTTGGATGAAGTAAACACAACTTCATTTGATTACTTAGATTCCATTATGGTAATGGGGGTTTTCTCTGTTTTAACTCTGGCTCTTTGAGGTCTAGAGCTCAGATTTGAGATGGTTCTCACAAACTTGTTTATGCTGCCACCTACTGCACTGAGGTTTACTGGTGCCTTGCCTCACATGTCAGCTGTGGTGAACCATGAAAAGAACCAAAAAAAAGCAAACTGTAACTTTTTGTTAATGCTCACAAACTCATCAATAAGGAATTTTAAATAAATCTGGAAAAGCCAAGAAAATATGTTTTGCAGTCAGAGAAAGGTGAACTTGCATGGTGCAGGAAAATAAACTAATTAATTAAACTCTCAACTTTCATTGATCTGACTGTCTGTCCAATGTCATGCTTTAAGGAGGAGGTCAGTGAGCCACGCCCAGCTGATGCATGACAAGGGTCGCTCCTTGCAGGAGTTTAAGCGCCGCATGTGGCTGCAGGAGCTGCTGGAAGAGGTGCACACCGCCGATGAGCGAGCTCCACCTGAGCAGAGCAAAACCCAGAGCCAGACCTTCAGTGGGAACGCTCTGCACGAGAAGCCCTCAGGGGCCACCAAGAACCTCCCTGAGAGGTTCAAGCTGGACAGAGACGGCCCTAACCTGCCCCAGGAGACCAACAAGGCTCTGGCTTATAAGGACCAGCCACTTAAAGTGGCCACCAAGAGGAAAAAAAAGGTGAGGCTAGGCCGACGAAGAGAGAGCGACAAGAAGCGGAGGCGAGCACGGTCTGTTTCAACAAAGGAGCCGTGAAGGACGCTGTGCCGTGACTAAGAGACTCCGTAGAGCTTTTTGGTGCTGCACTAAGACACTAGACTGGGATCTGACAGACTCTGCCAATGGCTGACTCAGTCGCTTCATATTACAACCATGGGGTTGTGCTTGTACAGTATGATAATATTTTGCTGTGTTTGTATTTTAAATCTTATACTTCCTGAAGTTTCGTGAACTATCATAATAACATCTTCTGTCCATATTTATTTGGGAAATCTGTAGGCCTCTGTAAAATTGTTGACTTCAAAAGAAAGCCATATGCCGTCATGTCTAACCAGTCGTAAGCATGAGTAGATCATCGGAGGAACTATTTATTGCCTGAAAAATAATGTAATTTCACAACATTGGGAAGCTAAATGGTCTACTCTGTTGACTATTGTGAGCTTACAGTTATAAACTTACATACAAACTGTTCACTGAGAACATCTGTTCAAACTGTTTTGCCATAATTTATTTCTTTGAAAGTGTGTATTTATTTTGTGAATGTATCACAGTGCTGCTGACTAAATTCCATAATGCACTTTAGTTAAATCATGTACATGTTCTTTTGTGGTTTATTATTTAGAATTTTCTGTTGATGGTCCTGCTTTCCCTTCCCAACTTAGATCCTTAATGGACTTGTAACTTATTGGATGTTTAATGTAATCTATTTTCAACATTACAATTTTCTTTTTTAACAAGTCCAAGTCAGGGCCTGCCGGATGCATTTAATGTTCTTCACTTGCACTGAGGGCATACTGTACAGTACATGTTTCCAGTTAATCAAATATTAAAAGTGTAGCCATTAGAAATGTTTTTGATCCATGGTGTCTTTGTTCACCAGCCGTGTATGGCTCAAATGTGCAACTTATCATTTATGACAGGTAGAACTTAAATTATTAATAGTAGTAGTAAGTAAGTAACCGATAAGTTAATAGACAGAAGATCCATCTGCAACTATTTTGATTATTTATTTTAAGTGCAATTCTTAAAACACAAACGTCTTGATTTTCTGCTTTTAAAAATTGTCTTTTGTGATATTTATATATTTGGATTTTTGAGCAACAACAACAACACAATTGAGGACATCACTGTGGCCTTTTCACATTATTCTGACATTTCAAAGACCAAACTATTAATAAAACAATTCATTGCGAAAAAATTATTGTCAGATTAATTGATAATAAAAATAAAACGTAAAGAAAAAAAAGTCAATTACCTATTCTCAATTATTTTAATTCTACTTTTAAAACCTGAGGGCTATGTGCAGAATTTAGCTGATGAAAATAGTAGAACATTGCTTTTACAATGTTATCGAGCTCTAGTGACCTTTTCAAATATTTTGTTAGTTCGAGTTCACACCCCAAATATATTGAGTATCCAAAAATCCGGATCCTGCAAATGGTTTGGCATTTTTGCTTGAAATGTGATTTAAAATACATGATCAAAGTAGTTTACAGTTAATTTCCCTTTCATTTAAAGCAATTAATTGATATGTCAAGTAATAACTTTAGCTTGATTGTCTATGAAACTATATGAACAATAAACTACAAGACTATACAAAAACTATTGTTGCAAAGCAGATATGCAGCATGGTTGGTTACCCCTATTGTCCCCAAATGTTCCATTGATAAGAAGCTAATTTGACTGCCTCATGAATAATCAGCGGCTCAATTAATTAAAAAAAAAGGTTTTGATACATGTACATTTCATCATGACCTTCAACCTTGCTAAAGAGGCACAGAGAAAATAATAAATAAAAAGTGCAAGATTTAGGCCAAATCTTTTTTTTTTAATTCCCCATAGAGTTGAAAAACATCAATATTTGTGTTGACTTTTGGGCATGGACAGAAGGCAATGAAGCTGTTAATGTCCCACTTGAGAACATGTGGCTTTTTTAACAGCCACTGACTGAGTGGCACGCACTCTGGTAATGGAGGGGTTAGCAAATGCATCAGCAATATCCTGTGCTAAGAGCAGCAATGTACACCGAAGACCATTAGCTGACAGAGTCATAAATACTGTGGAAAGCCTGATAAAAGGCACCGTCAGGAGCCTGCAGCTCACACCGAAGAAATCAATCAAACCATGGAGAGAGACATTAATATCTCCAGAGAAGGGGAGGAACGGAGAACGTGATTAATCGACTGGTCTCTTTTACTATCGAGAGTGCTCATTTAAAAAATAAAATAAAGCCATATTCATACAGTACATATGAAATACCAAAAAGTATGTCAGTCTCAAGATAGGGAGGCTTTAACTCATGTCAATGACACAGCAACACAGTTCCACACATTTAGGTATTTTAGGGTACCAAAATGAACAATATAATTCAACAAAGGTTCACAAGGTCAAGTGTATACTACTTAAAACGTCACTGTAGACTAAAGATACACATATCTTCTAATAGCAATAACAAAAACAGGCATAGTAGGTGACTGTTCCCCGAGCAGCTGGTCTGAGCCTGTTTCTCTTTAAATCAAGTCAACCAGAATCAATTTGACCAGAGTGATGTTTGCCTTTCTTCCACGTTCAGCTGTCACACTTTGTAATGAGTCCTGAGAGGCTGCCACCTTCCCCTCCGTCAGTCCAGTTTAACAAGATGGACACCAATGAAATAGAAATCTACATTATGAGGATAGCCACCTCGCAAACATGAGACTAAAATACTGCTTTGAGGAACGACGAAGGTGAGTACGTCCAAATGATAACAATTTTTGACTTCTGGCACTATTTTAAAATGTATTGACCACTGAGTGGACAAACCCTACCGGTTTCAGTTAATTACACAACAGGTAAAATATACAGCAATTAAAAGTAGCTTTAAAAAGCTGTCTGTAAGCAGACAACCAAACTGCTGTTGCTATTACAAAAACCTTGTATTTTTGTTTTGGTGGTCTTAAACCATATGTTTTTAGATAACGTTATGACAGATAAAGCATACTTCCTATAACTATGGATACACATGATGCTATTTGATTAACTACAAACATGCATTTTGGCTAGGGAAGTAGACATAACCTAATATAACTTAATTATTGTTCACGTGCATGTAAACTTGTATTGCAAAGTTAATTGTGTTGTCTCCTACTGAAATTGGGAAGAACGTACACACCATCGACAATGTGGTTGGCTCTCAGAGTTTGTTCTTGTCTGAGTTAATTGGCGGGTTGCAAAAACATGCATACTGCATTTCAGTATCGGAGTGTCAATGAAAGTCTATTTGGCTTCCTACTATTCTCTCTATTCACCAGCTATAATTTCATGTGAATACTAGTAATACAAAATGTGACATATACATTGTTCATCCCTAACACAAAATAATAATCCTAACCTAAATGATGAATACATATTGGTTTTTATTTGAAAGGTGATGTCAAGCCGGTGCGAATATGGCTCATCCCAATACCTATGTGTTGATTTTTGCCTGTACCTGTGGAGTGATCCTGGGCATCGGGCTCTGTGCCAACCTGCTGGTCTTCTCTCTGTTCGCCAAGTACAACACGCTGCGTAAGAACCGCCTCGACATCCTCCTCCTCAGCATGACTCTAGCCGACTTCCTCACCCTGCTGCTCATCCCCTTCACCCTGCACTCCGCCGTCAGCTACTCCTGGCCTCTGGGGGATACGTCCTGCAAGGTCTACCAGTTCCTGCTGGCCTTCAGCCTTGCGGCCAGCACATACTCGCTCTGCGCCGTGTCCATGACCCGCGCCATGATCATCACCAACCCGTACCAGCCGCCCACCATGGACCTGGTCATCCTCCTGTTCGTCCTGGTCTGGGCCCTCAGCTTCTTCATAAGTCTGCCGCTGCGAATGTTTGCCACCAAAGAGAGCCTGGGCCCAAGCCTGGCTAACTTCACCTTCTGCCTTCCAACAATTCATGAGCACCATTACCAAGTGGTGCTGAGCCAGTTTGTACTTTACTACTTTATTCCAATGCTAGTCATTGCCTTCAACTATGTCCGACTGGCTCATTTTCTCCACAAGAGCCCTGTAATGTCGGTGTCCAGTGCCAGGAACACCCGCCGCGCCTCTGTCATGGTGTTCTTGGCTGCTGCTACCTTCTCAGTGTGCTGGCTGCCTGGTTATGTGCTGGAGCTGTGTGTTTACCTGGACCTGTATCGCCATGGACAGGCCTGGGAGCTGTTTTACTTCATCTGCACTGTGCTGCAGTATCTGCACCCCTGCATAAACCCTGTGCTCTATGTGCTGCTGTCAAAGCGCTACCGCCACAGGAGGGCAGCCTGGCTCTTCAGCTGTAACAAGAACCGAGTGCAGCCTCAGGTCATCAGCGTCACCACAGACAGCTTTTAAATTCAGCTGGTGGAGCAATAAGTTGGTTGGACACTTTTTTATAGTTGCTGTTTGTACAAATCAATTGCGTGTTTCAAAATAAGATGGATGCTTTTTGTGATTATTACCTGTTATCCTTGCCATATTTGAAGTATACATGTACACATAAGAAGATGAGAGAAATGATAGTTTGGATAATCATTTTTAAATATTTAATATTGTCAAAATGTATCTGTGTCAAATCTTTTTTTAAGGAAACGTTGTCATTATCTTATTCCCAATATTAAGTCTTGTCTTACTAATTTTATTTTTTGTTGCCCCAAATGTTTCTCACCCTCATTTGGTCTACTTTTGTTTTGTTTAACATGTTAGTACAACAAATCCGTAAGTATTTTCCTTTTGTCTGAACTATCAATACAAACAGCGGTCTTAAAGATATCATAAGGAAGATTCATTTCATATTGATTATGGGGACCCCTGTGGTGAGAAACCACTATTACAGGAATACAGATGTTTGCTTTGTAAAAGATAGCAATGCTGGAGTCGTTTCAGGGCTATATCTTGTCTTTTCCTTTTTGTGGGTTTACAGTTACTAAGTATGTGAGTTCTGGCCTTTAGTATGTTCGTCTCTTCCCGTGCAACCAAGACAAAATCCTGGACATTTACTCTAAGGGACAGGATAGCAGGTATATCTGATGCTGTGCTATACTGCAATAAAGATGTGGGTATACTGGCATGTTCCTACTCCAGAGCAAACTTGGTCTCAATGTCCTTCACTTCTATTTAATGCCAAGAGTACATTTAAAAAAGGCATAGCTGCTCCTTATCGTGTTGCAATGTTTCATCATATTTGAAAAACCGAGCAAAACAATCTCTTAAAAAAACATTAAAATGCAACATGACAAATACACTTTTACAGCACAGTTATTCAAACAAATCATCAGTTGCTAACTTGTCACTGCCATTAAATATGAGCTATATGATCCACAAGTATTACTCCTAACCAAGACCAACCGCAGGGTAAACTGCAGCTTCTCAGACTCCATACAACTTCATTGAGCCATCAGAAGTGACCAATCAACCACGCTGGACAAAAACTCAATTCTAATTGCCGAATTGTGATTACAACTGTTTCAGTGCATGTTGGGCTGTATTATTAAAAGATGTATGTTTTATTTACCTAGCTAAATACCAATTACAAAAGTGGATAATCATTTGATCAGTTTTATTGTGAACATAAATCAAGATAATGACAATAAATGCTTCTATAATTGTAAAGTAAAGAGACGGTGAGGGACTATCAGAAATTAACAATTGTGATGCAGGAACTTTAATGTGGAAGTGTCACTAGAATTCAGGAACCCAAAGTGCAATTCAGATCAAATATATGTATCTTAAATGCTCTTGTAAGTACAGGTATT